CGGCGGTAGCTCTGGGTTTAGCTCTCGATGGGCCCCGGCGGATTCGGCATTACCATCCCACGGATTGTGGCCCGGCATTAGGATGAGTTCACTCAACTTGGCCCACATGGCTTCGCTCGATGCTTAACTCGATATTAACCCCGGATACGACCAGTAACCGATAGCCTCCCCCTTCAATTATAAGGCTGCGTTACGATCTTATCGTAAGAGTATCATAAAAAAACCTGTTGAAAATGTAAATCGAAAACTGTGTAAGATTAACTGAAAGAAAAACTGCTCCCAAACATACAATAAAATTTTAATAATGAGATAAAATTGTTAGTAACGTAAGATGAAAAATTACTAGTATTTCCTTACAATTGTAAATATTATATTAACTTCAAAATTAATTGTTCTTTTAAGAAATTAAATTTTACATATATAATATATGTACATTTATAATATGAATATTACTAAAAAAAAAATTATATAAAAAGAAATACGAATGATAAAATAGTGATGTTTGATAAAAAAATAAATATGTTGTTTTAACGAGCGAAGAAGACCCTTAAAGTTTTCGCTTACGAGCCGATCGGAGCAGAAGGAAAAAAGACGCGGCCTTTGTTGTTGGAATAGCGACATTTGCGTGCGAGAGTTCAAGTGCAAGCCCCACGGGAGCTCGTGCGAACATTTTGGCCGTTCTTATCCACGCACGATGCACTTAATTGCATCTAACCGATCCGTGAGGATTTGCGCTAATCCGGCGATTGTGGACGGCGCGCCGTCGCGGCGCATCGCGTCGGGACGCATCTGTCGCATCTCGTTTCCCCTCTCCGCGGAATAATTGGTTATCTGTGCGGAGGCTCTTCAGTCTTTACCGTGGTGTACTCCCGTCCCGACGGGAGCAAAACTGTATCCTCTCGTTCTTCCATTTTCGCAAACGAAAAAAATTAAACGTCGCTCGATGATACAGATCGTTTATCGTAGTACACGTCACAATAAATAAATTTAAAAAAAAAGGATCTAGGATCAATTAGGATTCAACAATCTTTTACAATTTAAGATGTATCGGTATTCTTCAAAATCTGTCATATATTTTAATATATTATTTATATTGAAGGAAACAGCTGTAAATTCAAGAATTATGGTATTTCGGGATTTTCCGAATTAATAATGAAACATTATTTTCTTTTTTTTTTTTTTTTTATTAATGAAACATTATTTATATATTTTCTGGACTATCGATCTAATCACATCTTATACTTGTCCGTTTCTCGAAATGGCGAATGTATGCGCGTATGCGAGGATTAATGCCAGAAAGCCCTTTCGGGGCTTTCTGCCAGCGACTGTCGTTGTTAGCGCAATTTTAACAAATGTCAGTCACAAGGAACCGAGCGCTATCTTGTCCTGAGGCGGTGTAACGCGAAGGGCCCACCGATGAACCGGGTCCCTCGGCGTGGTGCCGTCGTGGTAACGTCAGCGGGGGGTCCGTCCTGCAAATTGATTTGCGTTCACACCCCAGCGGATCCACAGGGCGCGAAACCAGTGGCCCTTCCCGCCCTCCTCTCTCTCTCTCCTGCATTCACCCTTCAGAACCACATCATACATTTATTTACGCATCTCTCTGTTCTATATCAGCGGCCAGCATTGTTCGCCTCATTGAATTACCGGAAGCATGTGCTGCCGGTTATCACGCCTGTCGATCGCCCTACTTCGCGTTGTCGGATGCACGTTGGATGAACGTTGGATGTGTGTTGTTTATTGCCGATGTCGTCATCGAAGCGATAGGCTCGTTGTGACCCTTTAACCAATAGGCCTCTGTTGAACGATCTTTCTGATGTAACGTGATGTTATGAATGCTAAGAGAGGATAAACGACGCGTGTCAAGCCACATTATGCGTCGAGAAGGATTATAAATAGCGGATGCAAAAAATAGAAATTTATCTTATTACTACTAGGAGATTCGTAATCTTTCGAATGATACGCTTCGAAAAAAAAAAAAGAGAATTACATTATGCTTATATTTCATTAAAAATTATATATAGAATTATATATCTGATAAATTCTTAAATTTCTTCTCTTTTTGATTAAATTTGATTTTTATTTTGGGTTGGAAAAACTAATTTTTCTAAGCACGACAGAAATCTAATGGATTCGTCAACTCTCGTAAGATCGATCGATCCTTGACGACGATGTTTCATCAACGATCATCGTAACTCCATAGTTTTCGTCCCTTGCGAGAAGTCGGCAAAATTCAGGCGCACTTGTCGGAAATCCGGGGTGCGCACTCTTCGGGAGATGGTGTTAAATTCGATTACTTTCATTGTTGAGCTAACCCGGTTATCCCTCCGAGCTGACTAACGTAAAGAGGCGACTGTCCGGGGTCACGTACCTTCTTCTTATCCCTCTTAATCTCGTCCAATCCAGCGACAGTGTCTCCACTTCGTTGCCCAGTCTTAAAGGCGCTCTATTTTCCTTCCCTTATTATACACGCACGGGTATAAAAATCGTTGCGATTCGAACGAGACTGGAAGATTCTTGCTCAATTGCCTTAGATCTTTAACACGGCTCTACAATCTGCTTTTGTTAATAACGTTACATGCAAATTAAAACATTTTAAGTATTTACGTATTTACGTTCAAAAGATTTTAAAGATGAAAATTTATTTGCGTACGATATATTTATAATATTCAGAAATATTTGTGCAGATGTCAGGCTGGTACTGGAAGATGTGTCGTAGACAAGGCGCATCGAAATCAATGTCAGGCATGCCGTCTGAAGAAATGTATGCAAATGGGAATGAACAAAGATGGTGAGTAACAACATAGATATTTTTAATTTTTAATTTAAGAAAAAAATTTTCTTAAATTTTGAAATTATATTTAGAGATAATTAAAAAAAGAAGGGAAGAGGTAGATATGAAGAATCAAGTAAAATTAGCACAATAAATAATAGCATATAATTTTTTTAAATTATAAACAATCCAATTTTTTTTCACTTTGAAACTTTTGATTGTAAGTTAAAAGATATGGTAAGAGAAAGTTTTTATATTAAATTATAGTAAAATAGAATACAAAATATAATAAAAAGTATTTAAAAAAGATTCTTTTGTTCAACATTGGTTCAACAATGAAGATTAAGATTGCGCTATAAAGCGCATATTGTATAATAAATCCCCAAAAAAAGCGCGCGCCATTTTCCGGATAAAAATCGGCACGTTGTTGCGTCGCGATTCGATTCAATCGGAAGAATCTCCCCTTGCGACATCGAGTTCGGCAATAAGAAAGTTATCAACGGGACGGCGCTGAGGGTCGAAGCAAAGACGGATAAGAAGGGTAGAAACAAGAGGAAGACGGAGAGACAGGTGCGCGCCCGTGTCTCTCGCTGGAAGGCATTAAGAGTTGAATCGAAGGCTGTTCGGAGCAGCCAGACTTCCGCTGGTACAAGCCAGCTTTCCGCTCGCCCCGCCTTTATCCAGTTATTTATGTCGCGAACATAAAGGGCCCTCTGCCCGAATTCCGCTTCCCGCTTCTGCCGCTGATTGATTTCAGCATTACGGCCCGTATCCACGAAAATAGATAATCCGCCGGATCCATAACTCCGATTCGGCGACATTGTCTTGGAAACTCGGCAATAGAATCCCAATATCTTGGCGACGGTGATCGACGCGAGGCGATACCAACGTGTCATTCTGATCGATTGATCGACCAATTTCTTCTCTTTGAGGACAATCTTCGAAGTATCTGGCAAAAGGAATTAAAATTAAATTTTATCCAATACATTACATTATCAAGTAGAAAATGTAACACAATTATTGAGAAAATATACCATTAATTTGAATATAAAATATAAGATCAAAAGAAGAATTTTAGCTGCGTTACAAATCTGCGTTAAAAAGTAAACGGTGAAGAAACAAAGAGAAAATCTATTGAATTTATATATATATATATAAATTAAGGTAATTATTAGATACCAAGATGTATTCATCCCGAATCTTCTATACTTTTAGTGTTAACAACAATTAGAGGCTATCCATGTATATGTATATAAATATGTAATACTGATTGTAAGATATGTCCAAGTATATCAGGAACTAAACTCGCGGACAATAACTAAACGCTTGACGGTGAAACTTTTTTGCAATTCCTCGCAAGCCTGCACATCGCTCTTCGGATTTACGCGAGGATGGTGACTGGAATAATTACGACGGGCGGCATTAACGCGCGTGAAAGACACACACTCTTGTGTCACAAGCGCCGAAAAGGAGAGACTCGTGGCGTCCGCCGTGCTTTAATGGACGCGCGATTAGGGCACTCATTGTCGCCGGACCGGGCGCAATTTTTCCCGGCTTCCCTTTTAGCAGCGGCCCGGCAACGGGCGCGCAGTAATTTCGTAATAATAAAAAGCGTGTCGGTTCGCTTTACCTCCGGCGTGCGGCCTGCTGGGCGGCTTAATGGGCTCCTCTTGCTTCGTCGGGCCTCCGTTTCTTCTCTCCCTCTCTCCTTGCCGCCCTCGTCGTCCTCGCGCCAGAAAAGATAAACGCCCCCTCCCCCCCCCGTATGCTCAGTTTCCGTTTAATTTACATGCATTCTCGTTGCGAAAGACCGAACTGCTCTCTGCCCACCCCTTTTCTCTTCGACCTCTTCTTCGTTCTTTTAACTGACAAACGCGGCCGTCCTATCACTTTTCACATCTTCCTTAACACGACTAGATACCAAATATCTTTCATAATTTTATTTATTAAAAACGCTAAAAAAAAAAAATACCGCTCTTTTAAATCGGTTTTCAACAATTATCGGCGTAAATATTGTAATAATAAACACAAATAAATATGTAAACAGCACGCTTCCAATATATGATATACAAACTTTAAATAAGATATTTAAAATGTCTGAAAAAAAAACAGTATTATCTTATGAGATCGCGAATGCATTGTGAAAATCGATCGTTACACTAACAACCGTTAATAGTGCTTGCTCATATCTACAAGCATGATTCCATTGTTACCCCTCCGTAACATTTCTCGCGCGGATTCTCGCACGCCAGGAACGCGCGAACGCCCCCGTAGACAGATTGTTTCTCTCATTTGCATCGTCGTCGCGCCACGGGAGAGCACCCTTTCGCCCAATGTCATCCCGCTCGTCCTTTCTGGTTATCTCCGCCGGCAAAATCGCGAACGCGCCGGGGTCGAAGGGGGCGAGTCTCGGCGTGCGCATCGGGCGGTCGACCGCACGTTGCATACGTTTATTTCCTCCAATTAACCCTTCGGGATTCGTCGAGGGCCACGCGACCGTCGCTAACGACCGCAGTGTTTACGGCGACGACGAAGAGAACGAGCGCCGTCGAGCCGCGGCGAGCCGCACGAGCGTGAGCTTGCAAATGCGCTTGATTGGCTCGCCTGAGTGAAAAACGACCGGCGCTCTCGCGTTAACCCTTGCGATCCCGACCATCGTTTATTTCTGCAAGTTAGTTTACGGATATTTACGGATATCTCGAAAAAAGGAAGAAAGCACGCGCAAGGTGTCTCCCGTCCGACCCATGCGACTTTTTTCACGGGACAACATGGGTGATTCAGTTATTTTTTTTTTTTTTTTTTTTTTTTTTTCTAATAAAAAGTAATACGTTTTTTGCGCACTATGATCTAAAAAATAACATAAAAGGGTAGTTCGCGAGTATTGTATCGTGAAAAAGTACATAACGTCGAAGAACATAACGGATTTTCACTTTTATCATCACGTTGAAAAACGTGCTGACATAGATACGTCTATTTTGAAAAACTCATATACAATCACAGTTACATTTATCGATAGAAATCGGTACTAATCATTATCATTGAAGTGATTATCGAAGGCCTTTTTCGTCTCCTCACACGGATGATCGGTAAATGAAACCCTCGGGTGGTCGTACACGCCACATTATGTATTGCAAACAATAAGCGTCGCTGGCGTTGCTGCGTGCCCTGCTGAATTCACGCGTGTCAGACGCAGACTGTCGGCGTGACATAACATGGCGTTACGTGAGTTTGACGAGAGGGCGGCAGACAACTGCAAACTCCGTCGTTTCCCCGCCGCCCCGTGAATTCGCTCGACTAATATTTCAATAATATTTCAATCACCCGCGAATTCGACGAGCGGCACAATGTTCCCATTGTTCGCCGACCGCATCGACCTTTACGATGTATTCTCGCTCGAAGGGTCACTGGTTTTATTTTATTTTATTTATTTATTTTTTTTTTAAAGAAAGAACAAAAAACAAATTGCAAAAAAAGGTGACCGAGCGACGCGATGAATATGCATGCTCGTAGGAGTTTCGCCACACTCTGATTTCTCTCGTTATCAGTCAGTCGGAAAAACAATTCGGTTTTTAACGAAATATGAATTTTGCCATGATAGCTTTATTTATCACACCGATTCCATTGTTGCGCAATGGTTGATATAAAAAGTACGTATAGAAAATTGTTATAATATATGGTGTATAATTTTCATTTTTACAATGATGCGATGAATGCCGAATATTATAGTTCAAATATTATATTACAGTATAAAACTGTCCATTTTAGGAATTGATCTTTAAAGTTAGTTTGTTAAAAAAGTTTATATAAATATATGGAAAAGTTTCGTCTTAAATAAGCAGTAATATTAAATATTCTATATTAAAAATTCTATAAAATTATTGTTTTCTTTTCTTAGCTTTTAAATTAAAAGAAAAAGACCTTCTTTTTTTAAACTCAAACCGGCAAATAGGCTGGATATAATCTTCATTTTTTTTATCAGTAGTTGCCATTTTGTAGGAAGTCAATGATATAAAAATGAGATTTAGATAATACATTATTGTCCCAAATTTGAAACGCTAATGGATGGAATCACAAGTTTTACAAATTCTTATTATTTTATTAATTATCTACAAAAAATACTCGATAAATCTTGATAAAGTTAGAAAGAAGAAAATTAATAAATTTATAAAATTTTTAGCATCTTCTGAAGCGAGAACTTTGAGATCATTGTATTTATTTAAATTTTTTTTCATAAAATGACTTAAAAATCAACTTTTAAAATTATTGAACAGTATTTAAAATATATTCTATAATTAATATAATTAAGCATGAATAATGCAAAAAATGAATCATTTATAAAAATAATATACATATAAATAATGCAGACTTTATATCATGGTAACATTTTTTGTACAATTGACATGAAAAAATATGTAGGTATCGTGACATATCACAAAAACCATCAATAACCAATGATGACTTAATGATTCATCGATCACTGAATTTGCCTTTCGATTGTTGCACCTGCAAAAACACTCGTCGCGTCGATCGCCGATCAAAAACATCGAATTTGCAGTTTTGTCATACACATTCGTTACGGATGACGCAAATGTCGAAGATCAAAATGCATTTTTTAATTCTTTGAGAGAAGTGCTGATTCATATAAGAAACATATTAGTTATTATTTACACGACAATATTAATAGTTAACGATATTTGTCTACATATATATATATATATTTTTTTAACTTATCGCTGTTATAAATGTGCATGCATATTTTATTTATAAACGTGAAATCATGAAATTATAGCTGTTCAGAACGAACGTCAGCCAAGGAACACTGCCACTATCAGACCGGAAGCACTCGTTGAGATGGACCAGGAACGAGCGCTGCGCGAAGCCGCCGTCGCCGTAGGCGTCTTTGGGTGAGCGATAATTTATTGCCTTTCTTCCTGCGATTCCGAATCATTCGTTTATTCCTTGACCCATTTATGATCGCATACCATTATATTTTTTTAGATAAATTATTAAATATTAAAAATGAAACGATTAAAACAAAAAAAACAACAGAGGAAAAAGAGAGCAAGATAGAACGAGATCTATTTGACATATAAAATTAGTTATTTATTTATTAATTAATAGTGACTGAGACATTTACGCGGATCGATAGGTATCGGTAGGTATTTCGGGGAGGGGGGGGAAGGGGGCGTATCTGAAGTGCTCGGAACGCGATTACGTCGAAAGGGCAAGAGTGTTGAATGTTGGCCGCACACTTGCAAATCGCGTCACAAAGGCTCTACGAAATTTCAACTTAGACACGGTCGATTAGAGAACGGCAGGCGATGGAGACGACGATCGATAGTCACCTGTCGACGGGTGCAACCGGCAAGAGCAACCAGGGCCGACGACGTTGTTGGCACGTTTGATCTTCTGCTGGCGCACCAGGCTTACCTTTCGCCGTTGTGAGCGACACGCCGAGCGTGATCTATCATGAAAAATTACCTTTGACTAGTAGCCCGAGTAGGCGTAGCGTAGCGTTTTTCAGGTAACCGGCTGCCCAGGTTGGAACTAATGGAAAATCCATAGAGCGCCAAGGGGTGAACGTTAAAAGCGACGGCTGGCGTCCCGGCGCAGCGCGTCGTTTCTCGCCGAGTTATTATGCCGCGCTGCGTCGCTTACACACAAGCGACACAATCCTTCCGCGTAACGTAAGCGTTATTCTCGACACGGATTCATCCTTTGTTTGCATTTTTCGAGCGTCTAAAAATTCGAAAGAACGAAGAATTGGCAGCGTTACATCGAGAGGAATTTTCCGATCGATGGATCGTCTTCGTCTTATCAAGTCGACTATGTCAAATTCGCTGAAAGGGAGAAGAGTTTCATATTTTAGCAAAGGAAAAGGCTGTGTGTGATCGACCTACGATCCGATTAACTTAAAAAAAAGTTTAACGAGTATAGAGAAATTAATGAGATTAAGATAGAACGTTTGTTTAACGATTGGACGCATATCTATGTCAACGCGAGGATTCTACCCGTGCAATTTCATATTTACGTAACTGGGTATATAATCTATTGTAATGAAATGATTTACACTCCGCTTACGTGGTTTCATAGAACAATTCGATGTGAATCATGAGAGAAGAGAGAGAGAGAGAGAGAGAGAGAGAGAGAGAGAGAGAGAGAGAAGAGAGAGAGAGATCGTTTCTACTAAAATCAACCATTCGATTGCGTAAACGTGAAGCTTTGAAACTTGCACTGGAGCAGACACGCGTATAATCATCAATGACATCAGAACGTATAATTATACATAAATTAACGTCAACTCGAGATTATTGTTATGATTATAAGCGGACCAGTCTACTTCATGAAGACCAAAAAATGATGAACAAAAAAAAAAAAATTGTACAAAGCTAAAGAAATTACCTTGCTCTCACGCGGTAAGAAATATTCGGACAAAGTTTTACGGAAATGATAAATAATATTTATTCCATGTACAATAACGCGCTAAGAAAAAAAATGTTGCTATAAATGGGTTCGAATATTACACGTTTCTCATCGCGCTAGCAATCGATCTTGCTTTCTCGATTAGCTGAAGCACCGGACGGTGGATTACATACTTCATCGAAGTTTATCCGGAAACGTTAACTGGTATTCTTAACCCAGTGATTATCCTGATCGTTTGTTGATTACTTGAATAAACAATCTCCTGCGTCGCGTCATCACTTACATTTTGCTCCAAAAAATATCTGGAGATTGAATATGACACGACAGAAATGTGCATTTTGTTAATGCATATTTTATGGAACTCAGATTATCATCGTAATCACGGATTACGAAAATGATGAATATGATTAAATAATTACAGATTTTTAAAAAAGCAAGAAAAAAAAAAAACAAGTTGTGATCTGAATTAATTTATCATCTCTCTGTTATCTGTTAGCTCGATTTTACGAATCTGAATATATGTATATCGGAATAGAAATAAAAATTATTTACTTCTCAAATAACACACAGAGGTACAAAAGTATGTCTATTAATAAATATCTAAAGAAGAGCTGTTCGCGCGCTTTTGACGGCGTCACTTAGAAGTTTATGATATTCGAAACTAAAGCTCATAGCAAAGAAATTACGCTACGGCATGGAAATATTCCTTTAGTAATAGAAGAGTTGTATATGCGGCATGTGCGTGCGTGCGATTCCTGCGTGCAACGTGTATATATATATATATATATGTATATATATATATATATATATA